CCGTTACCATGGCGACCTCATACTGGGAGAAACCGTGGACGGACTGGATCGGAATGAAAAATCAGATTTTCGTTCAACTCATATTCTCAGTGATGGCGATGAGGATATTGATTCTGATCACGATGACATAATTGACGGTAAAATTAGCTCCAGGGGGGAGAGGCCGTCTGTTTCAGGTAGCGAAGGAAATAATGGAGAAGATGCTTTTTCAGATATTGATCTATCATGATCATGCGCAGTATGAAAATATTGACTATAAATATGTCACGTGATCCGTTTACAAAAAATAGGTGACAAATTATTTTGAAATAATTCAAAAAGTATAAAAATATAGACCTTATTCATAAATCGTGATGAGGCCTCGTATCCTAGGAAACGGGAACAAAACGCGGGAAAATTGACAAAATGTTTTTTTTGCTGTCGGCTATGGCAGCTTTTTTTCGTGAATATTACGGCTTTTTTCGAAAATATATCTATAAAACTGAGCTTGAAAGTTGAAAAAAATACTTCTGAGAAAATATAACATGACATTTAAAGCAAAAGATGCTGGAGTCAATCGAAAAAGGAAACCTTTGACGTTGTATTATTGTCGTAGTTTGTATGGCCGAAACAAACAACCAACAAGGCTACAAAACGTCTATACAACACCAAAATCGTAAGAAATATGAAACTATTGTTGAAGAAATAGGATTACAACTCACTCAGGTAATGTAACCTTCATTTTTTAAACTTGTAAGCTGCTTGCAGAATGTTATCGAGCCACAGTCATAGTTCATATTTTTCCGTACGAATCAATAACATTTGACGTTCTCTTGTGATTTTTGGCTGTTATTTTCTTTCATATTTATGTCAAATTCGAAAAATTATACTTCCATTCCATAGTTGTCTTGATTCTTCACGGAATAAACCTTTATATTGACGTTAAAATCTCAGTAAAATACTATTTTTCGCTTCTGGATAAACACCATCGCTACGTTGTCATTTTTTCCACACAAAAACGGGAGAAAACCCGGTCGCTTTTATAATATACTCGTTTACCGCTTTTGTTGTGGGTACAAAGTCTTAAAATACACACAAAAATGTTATAAATCGCAAAAAGCAACAAGAGACAAGCCGTTATAAAAGTCGACACAATAGCATCTGAATTTGGCTTGTCAAGCAGTTTTCGCTTGTTTTCCCGCGTTTTGTTCCCGTATCCTAGGATACGAGGCCTCGTCACGATTTATGAATAAGGTCTATTCTTGAGAAGCTTGGACTATTGTGATTGTGTTCACAACAATAGACAAGACAATGTCTTTCTTATCGTTTGCGTTTGCTGATATATTTGCTGAATATTAATGATATGTATATATTATTTGCTACGAATACAGACAAAAATTGCTTGTGTCTTTCTCCTAAAGTCAAAAATGAAAAATCGAACACCGTCAATCGATTCATTGGATGCAATCGAATATTGCTTAGAATAATTGAGTCAAGTTTCATTCCGATCAGACAAGTAATTAATGACGGAGCCTTGTTTTTTTTTCAAAGAGCGTCGCCCCCTAACAACAACGACAACGACAACGACAACGACAACGACAACGACAACACAAGATTAGCAGCGATTGGGGACCAGTTCCTGGTCCAAAATTTTCCTGCAAGGTGTAAGAAAATTTCCTGGCAGCGGTGCTGCTTGCGCTGTCAGTATTGACAGTATTTTGCAGCTGAAGTATTTGAAGGCGTAATTATTATATTATTTATTATTAGCATGACGAAATTACTGGATGCTGATTGGTTGAGAGGAGTACAATTATTTCATTAATTGTACTGCAGTACAATTAATGATTTTCCCAAAACAAACAAAATGGCGGAAACGTATTTTAAACTCAAGCGTGAAATGAAATTGCCGTGGAGGAACTAGATGAAAATACGAACACAAGCACCAAATTTTGCTTTAACAAAAGAACTAAATGAAAATACAAACAAAAGCACCAAATTTTGGTTGAAAGTCTGGCAGGACTGGGCTTTGGCGAAAGAATATCGGATGCTGACACTGAGCTAGAAGTACGTATTCAATTTTGTCATGCTAATAATAAACAAGTAATCATGCGATGTTGCTCGTACAATTAGGGATTAATAGTACTCGTGATGTTTGGAAATTTGCCAAATTGGACGCACCCCGGCGGCTCGTCCAATTTTGGCAAAATTTCCAAACATCACGAGTACTATTAATACCTAATTGTACGAGCCATCGCATGATTACCTATACAAAGAATAACGGCCGCCATAAACCCAACACGAAGTCTTTTTGACGTTGCGTCGCCTCTCCCACCTCTCTCGCCACTTTAAATGGGCAGCACCAGTGCCCTACTCCAGTTAAAGCCAGGGCCCTTTAACACAAAGTTACGCCACTGCGTTGTATGTTCGTATAATGTAGAGGTCGTTCAATAGGTATAATCCAGGTGAAACGTGCAAAAACGATCAAATATTTAATGAAGTTGTCACAAAAGATTTGAGCACAGTGAGATATACAGTCTAAGGAAAGGTCTTCTATTTTGTTGTCAATCCAAGAGGTGTACTTTTTCCATTTTGACAAAAATTAAACGAGGCGCATCTGTGCCATTCATTATTTCATTCCTTATTCAGCCTTTTCAGGGAACTGACATTTTATTTTGTAATTTTATACTAGAAAATACATGCTTGCAGAAACCCTCGCCTTGCTGACAAAACCATTGTATTTTCCGAACATGAAGTATCTAAAGTAGTTGTCATGGTAACACGACAATTTTTAAGAATATTCTTACAAATGAAAAATCGCCTAAAAATATGACTTTTAATTACAAAATTATCAATTTCCCAACATATATATGTTAGGTATGTTATTATACATAATATAGACTTCAATTTAAGGTAAAATTCAGCCACGAACGTTTCGCAAAACGTTTTAAAGTGTTCTTTATAAAACTAAACTGCCTTTAGTTATTAAAATGGCTTTATCGATAAACTTTGAGTTTGCAATAAAATGATTTCAAATTCTCGCATGCTTTCTTTTTTATTTAAAAAATTCAATATAATAAAAAAAGGAATTCGGGTTTTAAAACAATTATAAAATCAATATTTAAAACAAACTTACCTTCGTTAACGTCGGATCCCTTCTTTTAGCCGATTCTTTCGCCCTTTCTTTCTTGAAATTTACAAAATCTTGAAAAAATGCGAGTAAAAATGAAATATATTAGTAAGAAATTTATCAATCATCAAACAAGAAATGTTTGATTTCGCTGTCGTCATGCAAATCGTTATAATGCAAACTTTAAATTGGACCAATCACAGTGTTCGCTATTCATGACATATTTTTGACGCCATATTTTTGAGATCAGTGAGGACACAGAATACTACACAGAAGTCCATCTCCTTTGTTTTTTTGTGTAAGCGATATTCGTCAACATTCGTCACTCAGCAAGTACCGTAAACAGAAGCAGTCCCCCCCTGGAAATACTCAAAATGGCGTACGTCCAGGGGGAAGACTGCTTCTGTTTACGGTACTTGCTGAGTGAAGAATCATGACGAATAGCACTTACACAAAAAACAAAGGAGATGGACTTCTGTGTAGTATTCTGTGGTGAGGATGACCACCCACGCACAGTGAGCCACGCCCACGATCATTGGTGAACTTTAGATTTCGCTAATGCTTTTGTTTCTCCGGGTGTAAATAGCCGGGGGGTATTAGTAGCCTCGCACGGCACTTCGCGCCGTCGGCTCGGGAACTAAAAATTTGCTGACATACTTCAGGGTTTTTTTGTGTTACCCCAACTAAAACAAAATTTCATTTTATAATTTTGTTTTCAAAAAAAGTACTACAGACAATTTGTTTCTCAGTATTTCGTCTGAAACTGCATTACAGTATGGATATCTAAAGGGAACACCAACAAGTAATTGATCTTCTATACCTCGTTTGAAAAGTCTATAAGTATCTTTTGTAATTTGGCTGCAGATATGTTATTGCATGATCTTATCCATCTATTTTCATTAATATCAGATTCTGATAACATTGACAATGATTGACAACGTTGAAAGAACACATTTCTTACCACAGTTTCTGCCTTTATACCCAAGAAGAAAATTAACGGTCGAAATCCGCTACCATGGATTAACAGCGACATCCTTCATAAGATCAAAAAGACGGTCTGCATTCGGCGGAAAACAAAACCCAACCCTACCAGTTACTTGGAAGAGAAATACAAGAAGAGCCTTCGTTCTGAAATCAAGAAATTGTTGCGTGAAAGCAGTGAGAACTATTTTGGTTCAATCAACAATTGCTTTAAAGATAACCCAAAGCGATTTTGGTCCGCATTAAAGCAAAGATCAAAGTCTTGTAGTATTCCTGATCCTATCTCCATGCCTCAGTCACCCGCTACTGCATTCTTGAATCATACCGACCAGTGAAACCTCCCTTCCAGACCAATTGCTACAAACCCTAACGAATTAGCGGAGTTCTTCAATACCTACTTCGCCTCCGTATTTACATCTGAAAACCTCCCTGTTCAACATTCTAACAGGACAGATCCAGTTTTAACTGAACTCAATGTAACTGAGTTAGAGGTAGAGATTTACTTAACTCCCTTGATACTAACAAAGCAACCGGATCGGACGAAATCCCAGCGAGACTTCTAAAAGAAACCGCCTCAATAATCACTCCCTCCATCTGCAAACTATTCAACAAATCATTGCAACAAGGAACGGTGCCACAATATTGGAAACTAGCGAACGTTGTTCCCGTTTATAAGAAAGGTGACAAAGAATATACAGAGAATTACAGGCCAATTTCTCCCCTGCCAATTATTTCGAAAGTTTTAGAACGGCGTATTTTCATGAACATTCGACAACACTTTTCTCGGATAATTTATGATCACAAGCACGGATTCCTCCAAGGAAAATCTTGTGTGACTAATTTCTTAGAAGCATTAGATTACATCGGCGCCTGTCTGGACAAGGGAGGGCAGGTAGATATGGTATACCTTGACATGTCAAAAGCGTTTGACCAAATCAACCATAAGCGATTGACGCAGAAATTAGCAAATTCGGGTATTGGCGGTAACCTGCTAAAATGGTTTCAATCGTACTTGACTGACCGTCGTCAACGTGTTACTGTACTTGGTGTAACATCGAAGTTTCTACCAGTTTGTTCAGGCGTTTAATCTTTTTCCAGTAAGCTACTGGCACGAATACATGGATCTTATCTTGTTTTCATGAAAAATCATACATGGTCTGGTACCGCTAAATTCCCAAATGTCGTCAGCTATCCTCGCCACTCGTAGAACAACCCGATCAACCTCATCAAACAGACTGAAATATGTCATCCCTAAATGCAGAACTACCACCTACCAAAAATCTTTCCTCGTAAGAGCGAGCCGAGTTTGGAATTATCTTGCATACGAACTGAACCTCACTAACGATACTAGCATTACTGTATTTAAATCGGATTTGCTCAAGTATTACTTTACCACTGGACATTAATTATGATCCTGAAAACTCTCGAACATTTAAGAGTATATGTCTGAAATGTAATTGTATTCGAAGCCTGTTACGTCCAATATCGTGTTGCAGTTGAACTGTAAAGAAGATCACAGCTGTAACGTATATATATATATATATATATATATATATATATATATATATATATATATATATATATATATATATATATATATATATATATATATATATATATACCGGGTGGCGCAAAAAAAAGTTCACGCGTTTGATTTAGTACAGCGAAAAAACTATAAGTGTTACGTTTCTCAAATAAATGTTATCCTATCCAGGAAGGCCTAACTTAAATTTTGATGTATAACACATGCATTTGTGTTTAGTATTACCCAAGATATTGGTAAATCAATTTGAATATGCAATTCCAAAAGGTTCCAAAACTAGCTGAAAATAGCCTATTAAATACGAGTAAAGGAAGTTAACGATATATGAAGAACGCAAAGGCAGTAAATAACGCGTTTCTCATGGAAAATTAAATAACTATATTGTTGCACGTGTGACCATACTATCGAACGAACGTTGAATTTATTTGCTGGTCAAAGTTATGGCAATCAGCAATAATCGCTTCACGAACCTGTCTCAAATTGTTCGGTTGTTGATCTAATTTAATTCCTTATAGCTATGGGATATGGAAATACTGCGAAGCAATTCTTAATTAAAAGAGCCATCTTTTTCGAAATTTTGTTGCTTTTCAAATGATAATAAAACAAATAAATAAATAAGGAAAATCATTCGTTACACGTTTCAATTCAAATTAAATTCATACGAGCGAATATGTCTGACGAAATTCTAAAATTTATCAAAACAGTTTAATAGGCCATTTTTAGCTAATTTGTTAGATTTTCAAAAATTCGTTCCAAATTTTATTTGGCGATATCCCAGTCAATATTGCACGTAAATAAACATGCTATAGCTCAAAATTTAAGTTAGACTTTTATGAATACAGCTACGTTTATTTCAGCGATGTAACATTTATAGTTTTTTCGCTGAACTTTTTTTTGCGCCATAACATTTATAGTTTTTTCGCTGAACTTTTTTTTGCGCCACCCGGTATATATTAGATTGTGACAATACAATAGATAAAACCAGGGGGGATGGTGTGTATATATATATATATATATATATATATATATATATATATATATATATATATATATATATGTGTGTGTGTAATGATAGATTTGTGACGGGCCCAGCCCAGGTCACCCAGCCGTGGTCATGTACCTACTGTCATTTCATTATGTACGTTTGTTTTTGTCCTGTTATGCAATGTACTGTTTCATCGGCAAAGTTTATAAATTATAATTAGCAATGCTCGCAGTCCGAAACGAAATTCTAAATTTTCTAGTCGCAACAAATTCGCGATTGGGCTGCTATAGAAGGCTATATATGAACAGCTAGTATAACCAAGGTTGCGTGACTACCAACTCTCACGCACTCTCATCCTCGTTTGATCCGGGCAAATAAAATTATGTGCGTCGGACATATAATGGCGTACAGGGGCCGGTTGTACACAGCAAAAAGTCATTTTCGTACTGAGAAAATATATCCCATCTTTGGAATTTTTTTCTTAAGCAAAGAAAAATTTTCTGATGCAAAGAAAATTATTCTCATTTTAGGGGACAAAATCTCGACTAGAATTTTATTTCTTAAACTAAGAAATTACTTTACCCCACAGAATTACTCACTTTGATAAAAGAAATTTTTTTCTTGATGTGAGAAAAACTGTTTTTAATATGAGTAAATAATTTCTTGATACAATAAAAGTAATCTTAGCTTCTAAAATTCTTGTAGTATAAGAAAACAAATCTTGAATATAAAATCTTGAATGTTTCTTAAAATAAGAAAACTTGTTTCATTGAAAGATTCACATCCTTGTTTCAAGAAAATTATTTCTTGAAATAAGAAAATATTATTGTATTGAACCGAATACATACACTTAATAAATCTTAATTATAACCATGCATTGCATGCAACACAACTTTTATTATTTACAACAAACAACTTTTTATATCCATATTTCATTTTCCTTCTTACGTGCTTGTAAAATGAGTGATACATGTTTCCGGGCAATCTCGACTCCACAGCGGACCGAGAAGTTTACTTCGTGTTGCTGCGTACGCTGTGGCATTGACAATCCAAAATACATTGGATTGTCTATGGATTGTCTATGACTGTAGTAATGGTTCATAAGAACCCGAAGAGTGAGAGCCACGAACACCGCACTTCTAGCGAACATTTCCAAACAGTATTTTGGGGCCACTTGACTCACCATAGTAACGTTTATTCAGCACGAGACATCTGCGACAATTTTTAACATTTTAAAACGGCTATTGTTTATATTCTATATGACGGGAGAAGTGCCCTTGGTATAGCTGATCTGATCAAGGTATCCGTATAAAATGTTGATGTGAACAATTCAACAATATTCTGACAGTAACGATTTATGTGTTTGCAAAAACGTATGTTATGAAACGGCTGTTGTCTAGTTGAGGCTGAAAGTTACCCTAAGACATAATCCATGGACCCAGCTTTTATCGTGCCCATACTCCGTTCCAACTCCTTAGAACTGTGAGTAAAACTGTAGATGATACCTACAATACATTGGGGAAAACGTTACTGTATGGACCTCTATAGAGAGTCACTATATACGGCATTTTTTTAATATGAAATGCAACCCGGCCGCAAAGTGGTAATACGCAGAAAGTGCTTGACATCGTTTCCAGAGAAGTTAACGATTTGTGTTTTAGAAAGAAACTCTCAACTGTGTTAAGAAAAACTGGGAAGGATGATCTAATGAAATTCAGTTTGGAGCAGCTAAAGTAGCACTTTTCAGTCATCGTTCTTTAACCGTATTGTTCCACTCTGGAATCATACTTGCAAATTTGCTTCTCCTGGAGATCTTCGCAGTTTGGCAAGGTTTAAATCCTTCTTATTAAGAACATACTTCAATTTATTAAGTAGTAGTTTTGATGTTGACATGTGCTGTATGTGGTCTTTGTATCGTAGCTGTTCATACCATAGAAATAGTTAATTCTGATGTAAACATATACCAGCTCCTCGTGTCAGGTTTTGTTTTATCCTGATTCAGCTTTCAAATTTTTAACATGATTATACAAATCTGTATTATATGCATGATAACTTGAATGTGGTGCAATAGCCGTTCTAATTTGGTATTAATCAGCTGGTATATGTTTACCAATTTATAATATTGTCGTAAATAATGATATTAGATGTAAACTAAATTCAAGAGGGAGAGTGCCTCGCATGGGTCTAGAGTCCCGTTCGCACTCTTGCCGTTTGAACATCGTTCAATAAAGCTGTTAAAACAAAGCTATGTGGCTCTGTGCTGCTCAAGCAAAGAAATGGTGAAATGAGCGCGACCCAGGCCCGTAGCTGAGGGGGGCCTGGGGGCAATGCCCCCTCACTCGGTGGGGCAGTCCCCCCAGTGCTCCCCCACTCCGAAATTCGGTATTAAAAATTGAGATAAAGGACGTGGAAACCAATTGTAATCTGTACAAATTCTGTAAATTTTGTGGTTAATTTTGTGATTTTTCGAAAATTTTGTTAGGTTTCGGAAAAATTTTGTATGTCCGGAAAAAATTTGTATGTCCGGAAAAAATTTGTATTTCCGAAAAAAAATTTTGACCCATAAAATGGTACACTAAACGAAATTTTTTTGGCGACGGAGTGGGGGTCGCCAAAATAAATTAAGGAAAAAAATTTTTCTCATCTCAAACCCTCTGTTACATTCTTTCTGCAGTGCCCCCCCCCCCAGAAATTGAGAGCCAGCTACGGGCTTGGCGCGACCGCGCCTATGTGTTGGGTATCCTTCTCAAATAATCTCGCTCGACTGAGGTTATAATGTACTTATAATAATGCACTTAAATACTATACTGATATAGTTTTAGTTTTCATTTAGGCTTGTACAAAAAAATGCTGTAAAGGAAACGTGCTCGCGGGTTTTATGAGTTAATTCTCAGACTTCTATGCATGGTTTCAAAAGTGCTCGGGTTCAATTAAGACCTTTTTACGAATTACATTGGTCATTGCTTTTAAAAATTCACGTCAAACGTTGCTATAGTTTTAACCATAGTTAATAGAAGAGATGGTATATATCATTAGAATAATAACAGTATAACTCATTATTTATCCATGTTAGTCAACGTTTATTCATAATTCTAGTCCTTCACCGTGACGTGCGTATTGTATTTTTTGCCCAACTAACCAATTGTAATGTTTTTGGAAAGTTGCCTATCCGTAATTCGAACAATGGGATAAATTGGAAATTGCTATTGGTGGATTTGGCAAAAATACAATACACACGTGACAGTGAAGGAACATATTTATGAATAAACGTTGACTAACATCGATAATGAGTTATATTGTTATTCTAATGAGTTTTCAAACCATCTATTCTCTTAACTATGTTTTAACTAGCACATGTATAAATATTTTTGTATTTTTGATTTCGTGTTAATTTGAATGCAGTAATTTGAAATTGACAACTTGTTGATTTCAAAATAGTTATTGTTTACAAATTTATATATTTTTATTTAATTTTCCCCAAGTACTAGAAAATACATGCATGCAGAAACCCTCGCCTTGCTGACAAAACCATTGTACTTACCGAACATGAAGTATCTAAAGTAGTTGTCATGGTAACACATTCAATATTCTTACAAATGAAAAATCGCCTGAGAGTATCACTTTTAATTACAAAATTATTAATTTCCCAACATATATATGTTAGGTATGTTATTATACGTAATATAAGCCTCAATTTAATTAAGGTAAAATGCAACCACGAACGCTTCGCAAAACGTTTTAAAGTCACTAGTGTTCTTTATATTAAAACTAATCTTCCTTTTAAAATGGCTTTATCGATAAACTTTGAGTTTGCAATAAAATGATTTTAAATTTTCGCTTGCAAATAACTTTGCTTTCTTTTTTATTTAAAAAATTGAATATCATAAAAAAGGGAATCAATATTAAACATACAATTAAATTATATGCTGTCTTGTTAGTTATTTCATACGCAAAGACCGTCGGGTTTTAAAGCCATTATAAAATCAATATTTAAAACAAACTTACCTTCGTTAACGTCGGCTCCCTTCTTTTAGCCAATTCTTTCGCAGTTCATTTCTGAGAGAGCTTTTGAAATTTCAAAATCTTGCCAAAATGCGAGCAAAAATGCAATATATTTGCAAGAAATTTATCAATCCTCAAATCAAGAAATGTTTGCTATTTCGCTGTCGTCATGCAGTCGTTATAACGCAAACTTTAAATTGAACCAATCACAGTGTTTGCTATTCATGACAGTCCGCCATATTTTTGAGAGCAGTGAGGATGACCACCCCCCGAAACATCGTTGGTGAGCCACGCCCGCGATATTTGATAAACTTTAGACTTCGCTAATGCTTTCGTTTCCATGGGTGTAAATAGCCGGGGGGGAATTAGTATCCTCGCACGGCGCTTCGCGCCGCCGGCTCGGGGATAAAAAAGCTACTTAAAATATATCTTTAATTAAACGAATTTGGGCTAGATACCTGCTAGAAATCTTCGTAGACGTTTTATTTAGGCCTCTAGTTACTATTCATTTGTGATTATTAAATCACATAGTCTCATCATTTACAGTCAGTCAATAGGTCTACAATATGTAAAATGGACGTTTTGAAGAATATATACGTCTGTTTTTACAACAGAGAAAAAGAAGGGAATGTTCGTATTATATAAATTAATACTAATGTTGGCGATGCATTTAAATTTTTACAATGACTGGGCAACAATGGCCAACAGAATACTAAATTGCTATACAGTGTGTATAAAAAAACCCTTTCAAATTCAAATTAGCTATATTAGGACTGGACAGTCCTTTTTTACAATTTTTACAAAAATACAGCTTAACAACTGTTTTGATTAGGGGGGGGGGGCTAGCGAACACCGAAGGTGTGAGACTTCTGGGGAGGTCCGGGGGCATGCTCCCCCGGGAAATTTTAAAATCTGAGACCTCTCAGAGCCCCAGAATGGCAAAAAAACCTGTTAGTTTCTTTTAAAAAGTTTCTTGAACGGCTCTTAAGCAAGTCATTACATAAGGGTAAAATTTATTCACGTAGTACATTTCCTTAATAGATTTTTATCTTCGAACTTTAATGCCTTAATTACTTAAGCGTAATTTAAATTGCATTTTCCATACTTATCGTCTCTACCTTTCTTAGAAATATTTTTGTTGACCATGTTCAATAATAAAGGAACACCGAATGGTTTTCCGTGCAGGATCCCGCGAAGGCATTCAGTTTAATTCCTCGTGCAGGATAGCCTGATTCTGCACGGCTATTGACCAATCAAATTGCGTGTTTCACTGTAGTTTTATATAACCTGCATTCTTTTCGTGAGAATTTTGTTTGGAGATAATTTAGGTTCCAAAGTCAAAGAATAATCAATCACAAGCAAAGTTAGAACGACGCTTAGCAGTTTTAACGCCAACATTTTGTCTGGAACCGAAGCTGAACACGCGTATTCACTGTGTCTGAAGTCATGCATGAGTTTCAACCGTTATTTGAAAAAGAGCGTGACACCTTGGATAATGTTAGGCTCCAAATTTTAAATAAAGTGGTCAGATGCGACTAACAACTCTTGACATTATTGCCATATATATGTTTCTCTGGTTAGAAATGGCCTCTATAATTTTGAAACACGCAAATCAGACATTTGATATTTGTTTGGACTACGCAAAAAAATTAAAAGTGCTATCTGCGCTATATTAAAATCAGATATGTATGAAAATTTATTTGGGGGAGGGGTAATGGTTATAATTTTTGTTTGTGTTTTCCTCATAAATTATTAATGTGGAATTTAACGTTATTTATAGCAAACATGTTCTCTGGTATATACAATGTGTTTTATTTTCGAAAATAAAATACTTTTGAATGTTAATGAATGATATTTGTATCGGAATAATAAGATTTAAACATTTTTTAGGCTGCTTGTATTGGAGCGACTGACCTGCTATAACGGCGTGAATGTCTTGATAAACAACAATACAATAATCTTTGTCTTTCCCCACTCTGGTCCACTCGTGTGCGGAAAATTTAAATGCGATTGTAAACAAACTATAAATATTTGGTCATCTTTGATTACCTCTATACTAGAAAATACATGCATGCAGAAACCCTCGCCTTGCTGACAAAACCATTGTATTTTCCGAACATGAAGTATCTGAAGTAATTGTCATGGTAACACGATAGTTTTTTAAGAATATTCTTACAAATGAAAAATCGCCTAAAAAATATCACTTTTAATTACAAAATTATTAATTTCCCAACATATGTATGTTAGGTATGTTATTATACGTAATATAAGCCTCAATTTAAGGTAAAATTCAACCACAAACGCTTCGCAAAACGTTTTAAAGTCACTAGTGTTCGTTATAAAACTAAACTGCCTTTTAAAATGACTTTAGCGATAAACTTTGAGTTTGCAATAAAATGATTTCAAATTCTCGCTTGCAAATAACTCTGTTTTCTTTTTATTTAAAAAATTCAATATCATAAAAAAGGGAATCAATATTACTAAAGATACACTGAAATTATATGCTGTCTTGTTTAGTTGCTTCATATACGCAAAGGCCGTCAGGTCAGTTTAAATTAAAGCCATTATAAAATCAATATTTAAAACAAACTTACCTTCGTTAACGTCGGCTCACTTCTTTTAGCCGATTCTTTCAGCCGTTCCGCACGTTGTAATCAATAATTTATTGGCGTTGTAATGCCATTGTATGCAATAAAGTATTGGTTACAATGGATCTACAACTAATCCAAACGCTAATCCTAATTCAAACCCTAATCCTAACCCCTAACCCCACCTCCTAACCCCTAACCTCTAACCCCACCTGCTAACCCCGCACCCTAACCGCACACCCTAACCCCGGCCCGCTACCCCTCCGGGGAAATGCATTACCGCTTCCCCTCCATCCACCAAGCAAAACCAATTAAACTTATACCTAAAACTTTTGTGCAGTGGTTGCGGGTTTGTTTTCAGTTACATCCCAATACTTTATTGCATACAATGGCATTACAACGCCAATAAACTAGTTGGTTACAACGTGCGGAACGGGTGACTCTTTCGCCCTTTCTTTCATGAAATTTACAAAATCTTGCAAAAATCCCAGCAAAAATTAAATATATTTGCAAGAAATTTAGAAATCATCAAATCAAGAAATGTTTGCTATTTCGCTGTCGTCATGCAGTCGTTATAGTGGACCAATCAGATTTCGTTATTCATGACAGTCCGCCTCATATTTTGAGATCAGTGAGGATGACCACCCACCGAAACATCGTTGGTGACCCACGCCCGCGATATTTGATAAACTTTAGACTTCGCTAATGCTTTCGTTTCCCCGGGTGTAAATAGCCGGGGGGAATTAGTACCCTCGCACGGCGCTTCGCGCCGTCGGCTCGGGGATAATCTGGGTAATTAATTCGTAAAAAAATTTACTATTTTCAACTTTTCACCCAAAACCCAGAAATGACGAAGCAGATTGATGTCTAAAATTCAGGCTATTTCATTCAGAGAGCGAGCCTGACGCCCGTATTCTAAAAGCTCACTCACACTCACATTCACACTCACACTCGCACTCAATGAGTGGAGGTTCAATCTGAGCTTCTCTTGAGTGTCAATGTTGTTTTTCAATAACTGGAGGGTGAGTAGTCACCGAGTAAGGTATGCCGACACTAGCCCTCCAGCTATTCAAAAACAGCATTAAAACTCAAGAGAAACTCAGATTGAACCTCTACTCATTGAGTGTGAGTAAGCTTTTAGAATACAAGCGTGAGGCACTCACCTCTTCCAAAGTTGAGGGAAGGGGACGTTATTAGTTTACTTCGAGTATGGCGGCCTCGCTCACATGCAACTAAAACTACAAACTTATTTTTACAGCACAAAGGCCCATACAGACCGAACGCCATTTGACAACGCGACGCGAATTTTCAGTTTTTAAAATAATAATAAAACCGTTAACGGATAACAATTTTACAAGATATGCAGACCAATTTAAATAGCTAATTTAAAATTGCTTAAGTGGTTCCGAATATTTGAAAAACATAGAAAAATAGTAAAGTTAAATGTCACTGACAATTAAAAATTCGCGTTGCCATGACGAATCGCCTGGGCCTTAATTATGCATTGCTTAGTCAGTTATACTCATATAGTTAGACAATTTCAACCGAGATTTCAGCTTTTTGAGTGGCGACTACTTTGTGGCATAATTGTACCAAGCAGTTAAATTAAATATCCATACCTGTAACTCTATAAACTATCACTACATGTCTGTACGTATATAATGTCACCATGCAGTTATTCATCGATTCGCGAGCAACATTAACTATATCATTTCTCAAACCTTCACAATAAGGTTAGATTTGCGATCTTTTGACTTGAATGGTATCTCGAAATGCCCACATATAGCTTTGAACATGCTGATATTAAATAGGCGAAGTTTATCATTTTTGTAATACTGACACAAATCATAAATGTCATAGATGATAGATGCTGAATTCCTATTTGATCAACAATGTTGTTTATTTGGCAAACTCTCTCCTCGATTTCTACTTCTGAATCATCTGCGTCTTCCGTTGGGTCAACATCCCCATTATTTTCTCTTCATTTCTTTCTTCCCCATTTCTTTCGGTCCTCCGCCCCATTTCTTTCCTTTCTTTTCTAGCAGCAGCAAGACGAGAAAAAAAGCTTTTGATTTGGTTTGATGTCAGCCATTCCTCGCGAGTAAATCGTCTCTCGTTTTCATTCCTACACTTACGCATATCAGCTTCTACATCACTCGAGTTAAACTTGCAGCCAGTTTGCTCACCAATATCAAATATTGCTGTCAAATAATTGCGGAGATTCGTTCTGAACCGGGAAGATGTACTGGACTTGCTTAGAGCCCGGCCCATTTTGTTGTCTGGCGCCGTTGGGGCTGGTCAGGGTTACAAATACCTCACTCGAATCTGATTGTTTTCCTTTATGAATGACATCAATTGTATATGAAATTTATCGGACCATTTCTTTCTCAAGCAGTCGTACAATGTCTCGTTTTCAAAAGTATTGGTGTGGTTTCCCGCGATGAGATGAGTTTCCAGATTTTCAAAACATTTGAAGACTTTTTCGAATCCTGGAACGGTACACTCGAATGCATCTGATTCGTCGTTGTCTGCCATTTGTTTCTCTTCCTTCATAGCTCTCACATTAAATTTAAAAAATCCATCATCTTCCTGAATGTCTGTCTGTGCTTGTTGTTTAACGACAACATCTGAGAAAGGAATGAATTTCCCTTTCCTGATACCATATGCTTTCCCGACTCTAAGACCCTGTTCTTCTATCTCAAAGTTGTAAAAACTTTCATAGGTTTTACCTCAGCTGACATTTTTGACTCGTCTATTTTGTTTACCTAAGCAGTAACTCCACTGACGGGACCCTCAAGTAGTGCTTTCTTCATGTCTTTTGCATTCAAAATATCGTGGCTTTCGTCGCAATATCTCCTAATCGCTAGTTTCATTGGGCATAATGTGCGGTCACATCCGTGTTGTGGTTCAGTGTAGTCGTAACTGACAACTTTTACCCCGACTCTGTTCCCGATATCTTTTAATGATTCTATTAATCCCCGAGCCGCCGGCGGCGCGAAGCGCCGTGCGAGTGTACTAATTCCCCCGGCTATTTACACCCGGGGAAACGAAACCATTAGCGAAGTCTAAAGTTCATCAATGAGCGCGGGCGTCGGTCACCAACGATGGGTGGTCATCCTCACTGATCTCAAAAATATGGCGGATTGTCATGAATAACGAACACTGATTGGTCCAATTTAAAGTTTGCATTATAACAACTGCATGACGACAGCGAAATAACAAACAATTTCTTGATTTGATGAGTTGATGATTGATAAATATCTTGCAAATATTCTTCATTTTTGCCTTTATTTCTGCAAGATTTTGTAAATTTCAAGAAAGAAACGGCGAAAGAATCAGCTAAAAGAAGGGAGCCGAAGTTAACGAAGGTGAGTTTGTTTTAAATATTGATTTTATAATGGCTTTAAAACCCGACGGCCTTTGCGTATTAATGAAACAACCGAGGAAACAACTAAACAAGACAGCATATATGTATCTTTAATATTGATTCCCTTTTTTATTATATAGAATTTTTAAATAAAAATGAAGCAAAGTTATTTGCAAGCGAGAATTTCAAATCATTTTATTGCAAACTCAAAGTTTATCGATAAAGCCATTTAATAGTTAAAGCTCGAGTTAAAGGCAGTTTAGTTTTATAAAGAACACTTTAAAACGTTTTGTGAATTGTTTGTGGTTGAATTTACCTTAATTTGAAGCTTGTATTACGTATAATTACATACTTAACATTCTTATGTTGGGAAATTGATAATTTTGTAATTAAAAGTGATATTTTTAGGCGATTTTCATTTGTAAGAATATTCTTAAAAAATTATCGTGTTACCATGACAACTACTTTGGTTTTCACTTGTTTCCATCTACCAAACTGACATTACATCATTTGATCAATTTCTAAAGTTGTTTCTTTTTGGATTTTTTAATTAATTTGGTTAGGGTTAGGGTTAGGGTTAGAGTTAGGGTTGCGGTTAGGGTTAGGGTTAGGGGTTAGAGTAGGGGTAGGGTTTGGGCTAGTTACATAGCCATTTAACACCTCTTCAATCTTCTGAAAATGACGTCATGTCAGTTTGGTGGTTGGAAACAAGTGCTGACCAACTACTTTAAATACTTCATGTGCGGAAAATACAACGGTTTTGTCAGCAAGGCGAGGGTTTCTGCATGTATGTATTTTCTAGTAAATTGTTATGATAACACCCGGCTTCGTCTGACCGTATATAAACATGTCTTATGCTTGGATGTCGCTTACGAACATTTATTAAAAAATTCTCAAGGACTGCATGATGCGACGGCATACCAATGTTGGGTGCAAGAATCTATTAAATATGTGTAAGTTGATACTTCAATCTTGGCTGTCTCGACATTTTTTGTAACTACACTACTGACGTGCCCACTGATACCTCTCTTCCAATACCAGTCAGACTGCTTTTCTCGGTGCTTTAACTGTAGGAATTTCATTGCCATACCTATAACAATTTGAGCCGAACTTTCATCAAGTGATGATAGGACTTTCTATTTTGCCGTTTCTTGACTACATGATCTCAGAACGCGACATTTCCATTTGAAAATGTTTTCCTTTGCACGTTTCAAATCATAAAGCAAGTCGTCTCTTTGTTCACAGGAGAAAAATTTACTAGAATTCTTTGGAATTGCTTCTTCGATATCACTGATGACCTATTTCAAATCCTCGCATCTGTCGCAGAAAAGCAAATTCTCGTGATCGCACGACTCTTGGAGAAATTTATCTGTTGGATCACTTAGCGCAAAATGCCTACAATAATCAGGACATGGACTTTCCTCTTTACAGTGAACCAAATATACTTTGGCGGAATTCAATTTCTATACAGTTATTTCAGCCCATTCTCTCCCCACGCCTAGTTCTTCTGTTTCGGAGACGATCCGGAAAAGTGTGGCACGACTGAGTGCCTCAACCTTCTGCACTTCGCAATAATGCGTGTATTGAGAGATCAGTGTTGATCTTGTAACATTACATATTACATTTGGCATTGTTAGCTTTGATCCCGAATCTAAATTGAGCCGATTCGCAAAATTAGAAATAAGGCCGATTCGCAAAATCAATAAAATGATCTAGCTTAGTTCTATCTATTCGAATCCTGTTTTGCTTGATTTTCTCTATTTTGTTACCTGGACTATTTAAGTTAGCATGTGCCCTCGCTTTCTTTATTTGCCATTTCGTTATTTTCCGTATGGCTCGTGTAGTTTCATCAGGGTTTCTGTTGGATAACTGTTCGCATAAATACTTAGAATTTGAAGCTTTGCGTTTCTGGTGAAGGCAAGTTGGTATGCAGACATAAGTGCAACAAGATCATCAGACACCTGAGGTTGCGAAGAGTATGCCGTCGCATTGAATAATTCTTCCCCAGCATTTGGCGCAATAGCGTCACAGACATTCATGCAAGCTTTTCTTGCTGTTTCAATATATAAATCTTTTTTAGTGGTTGACGTGTCGTTCCAGGTACTGGTTTGTTGTGATGTCAAAGTAGCTGGTTCATCGGATGCAAGTGATGCTATACGAGTTATTGCTTTGTTGTAAATTTCTGTAGGATTCGATTGCTCATTTTCACTGGTAGAACACGAATTTGGGGAGTCTCTTTTCTATTCTTGGCGACGGGTGTCTCGTCTACGGCAGGAGTTCCGATTTCAAACTTGTAGTTTTGAGTGATACTTTCGCTAATCTACATGTGAAAAAAAAGAACAAATTGAAATCAATTTAAAATTTAAAAAAATTAAAAACGATAGTTGTTTTACTGCCTTTTTTACTGTCTGAAAATCTAGTGCATTTTAGAATGATGCGTGAAGATCTGAAGATTTTAACGGAATAGGATAAAGGTATAATCGTGAGAAATGGAACCCTGATTGTTCTTTTCCGATTGTAATCATCACCCCCGTTAGCTTGTTTGCGCCAGATTACGATAGGATATGATATTACTTTGCTTAAACCATAGACAATCCAGAAGACAGATGTCTTCTGGATTGTCTATGCTTAAACACAGGGCCGCCGAGAGAATTCACGGGGGTCGGAGCAAATCTTCCCTGGGGGCCCATGACATCATTATTTTTAATGTAGACCCAACTAGACCTTAGCTAGACTGCATGTGGAGGTACTGTAAGGGGCCCTCAATTTCAAAAATGCTCTGACCAATTTAAAGAACCTATTCAATTTCGTAGGCTACAGCCATAAGAGTCAGCCAAAAAAAGTAAAAAAAAACTGAGCGCTTGAACGCGGTTGCATGGTCAGCGATGAACTATTTAAAAAACGAGCAGGAGTGTTTTATTAGGTTTAAAGCGACGAGCGCGCCGCGCGAGTGGCTTTAGACCTAATAAAACACGACCTGCGAGTTTTTTAAATGGCTTCAAAAACGTTTGCATAATAAGTCAAATCCTTATATATAAAAATCTTTATATAAAAATCTTTATATAAAAATCTTTATATAAAAATCTTTATATAGTTTGCATAACAATGATCTTTTGTTAAAGTGTTCTTTAGCTGGTATAAAGACGTACGCACGTGACTAATTTCTCACTCAAGATTGGATAATTGCTTCATGAATTATTAATGAGTTTTTGAATTATTGTATAAAACGTTATTATGGCAGTCAAAAAACAAAAACTTGAAATAGAACTCTTGTAATAGAACTCTTGCATCACATCAATTGCATACCCGTGACCAAATATTTATAGTTTGTTTACAATCGCATTTGAATTTTCCGCACATGAGTGGACCAGGGTGGGCAAAGACAAAGATTATTGTATTGTTGTTTATCAAGACATTCACGCCGTTAGCAGGTCAGTCGCTCCAATATAAGCATCCTAAAAAATGTTTAAATCTTATTATACCGATACAAATATCATTCATAGACATTTAAAAGTATTTTATTTTCGAAAATAAAACACATTGTATATGCCAGAGAATATACTTGCTATAAATAACGATAAAACTAGAAGTTACTATCGCAAGGAAAGTGCTGCCTCATCCCCAAGGGATTAATGGCAGAATGCACAATTTGCTGAATACCCTTATATGATCCCGCTATTACGACGCACTAGTGGTCTGTAACATTCCAACTTTGCATTCAAGACGTGAACAACTGTGCTCGGCATTCTTTAAGAATAAAGTTGTCTACAATCCTTCACAAAAATTATGAGCCTACCCATGTGAAAGTGTAATTTCCTCTCCCCTCCCCCCCTACAGAGCAATGTTGCTCGTGACTGAGTTGAAATTGTGAAGCACAATGCTTATGCTTGCAGTAACAGTCAACATTGTTTTGGAGGGGAGGACGAGCTCCTGATGGTAGGAATTTGCTGATTTTATAGATAAATATGCAAGTCTCAATATATTTTGTGAAGGATTGTAGTCCGCTATCAGGTCTGGTAAAGATCGCTGCAATGATCTACGTGCCCCAAAGAAACTTGCACCAATCAAATGCACAACAAACCGCTTCAAATACTCTTTTATTCCGTCGTTTGTCGAACGTTTTAATAATTCTTAGTATTCCGTCGTCTGTCGAACGTTTTAATAATTCTTAGTACCTAGGCTTCAGACTCTTATCAAAGTTTAACCGTTTTTAGTCGTAGGTTACATATCCATAATTAACAGATCTGAGAATTTTTATAATAATTATTCGTAATTAAAAAGGTAATAGTTAAGCATACAGTTATGTTTATGGTGTATTTCAACTGTTTAAGGTTGTAAAATCCAAGTTTTAATAATAATAATAATTCTAACATTATTATATTTTAATAATTAATGTTGTTTATTTATTTCACATTATATACATTTAAGAACTTAAATTATTCAAAAACTAAATAAATATGTGTTCAAATAATGTCAATAACTCACTCCAAAATAGGCAATAACTGTTTTCTTTATAGTTGACCCCACATGCTGTCATGAAAATTAATAATAAATAAAAAAAGACGCCAATGCTCCATGTTTTTTATGTAAAAGGTTATATACTATGAATAATTGCATTGCATTGATAAACTCTTCTCAATGCTCTCCCCTTGACAAGTAAAATCATCTGGCGTTAGACAGAGTAAAATAATCTGGCGTTAGACAGAGTAAAATAATAAAGTAGGGTGTATCTGGGCACAATACAACTCAATGGGTTAACTGGATCATCTGGTGTTAGACAGTAAAATAATAAAGTAGGGTGCAATGTGACTCAATGGGTTAACAAGTAAAATTGTCTAGCTTTACAGTACATCTTCCAAGGGGGGCTGGATTTGGGGAGCAGGCCCACCAATTTTAGTTGCATGGGGAGTGGGGCTGCTTTTTTTGAACCCTCAATTAAACTATTACAGTAATCTGAAGGGATAGATAGATAGATAGAGACTTTATTTAAAGAGGGTGACACTTAATAGTATGAAGTACTGATGAACCTGTGGCCCTCATAAGGCCTGTTTATATGGTCTCTGGGTGGCAAGGCAAAATTATATTTATGTCCTATTATAGCAACTGCCATGCAAGTGTTTGTGTGGAAAGTTTTGAACTTGTCTTGTCTATAGTGGGATAATCCAGGTAGTAGGGTTACTCCTTCAGGGGGTACAGCATCTCTATTACTCAAGATTAATTATATAAACATTGCCCGAGGCTATGTAAAATTGGTAAGCATTCCAATAAAATCAAATAGTCTCAGGTTTTTCCAATCAGGTGAACAGATTTGAACAAATTAACCATAGTTATACTGTAAGATTCTGCATCTGGTTCATTGTAGTGAATAATGTAGTTCAACAGGAATAATTGGCAATCTAGAAAAGCAAAATAAACAAAATAAATAAACAGATTAGATTATTACAATAAACATATGTACAGTGACTTGGCATGTCTGATAAATTGACTTTTAAGAGCAAAAAAAAGTTGTTATTGCACAATAGCCAATGCACTAATCTAGGGGAATCACTATAAAGTATAACTTGACCAATCCTCCACCATTGGGTCAACATATAAGTTAAATAAAGTCTATTTGAGTACTTTAGAGTACTGTGGCTCTATGTCCTTGACTCTATCAGTCCATGTTGAATGTTGATGTTCATTTTCGTATCTGAATGCTGTTTATTCAATGTTTAAATTAACGCAACCCTTTGATACAACATTGCACTTGACAAAAATATATTGATAATTTGATATATATGAGCTAGAGAAAAAAAACTCGCATATAAAGTTGCCAACTTCCAGCTGGAGTTCAGGTCTACAGAATCGAATCTTCAGATTGCCAGAAATTCTCACTCCTTCGGGTGTCTTTTCTCATTTTCGCCGTTAAAAATGATATTCGTTCAATTCCCTTTTGCTAAGAAGACGCAGTGTGCCATTTATTTGCAAAATTCGTGCAGAAAATGAAGATCGATCGGTTACTGCGCTTAAAATCGCCGTTTTATTGCCAAAATTTTGCATTTTCCTATCTATGGCCTGATAAAAAATGTGCATGACACATGCCAGAGGGTCGCGCATGCGCATTAAAAAAGTGGGGACATGATTTGCCTCGAGTTCCGCCTCTGTATATCCTTACTCTGTGTCAGTGTAGTGCTGATAAGCAGGATGAAAGTAACTGCTATTTACAGTTACCCTTTGATGCCTCACGAATGTGGGACATCAAAACCATGCCAGAGCGCTCAAACTACAAGCAGTGAGCGTGCGCAATGGGTACGCAAGGAAACTGTGCTCTTACATAAATTCGACATTTTTACGATTTCTGAGTCTTGGCTGGATAATACTGTATCGGATACTGAACTTGATATTCTCGGCTATGCCCTTTATAGACAAGATCGCCAAATTTCTAAAGGCGGCGGTGTTTGTGTCTTTGTAAAGAACAACATTAAAGTATCACTGTTACCTGACATCTCGGCCATTAATAATGGATTTCAACAACTTTGGTTACAGGTTCAATTAAACAAATGCAAATCGCTGGTTTTGTGTGTTGCATATAGGCCACCAAACTCACTTCCATCTCTGCTTACTGATTATTTTATGCCTAATGTAATCTTAGCAATGTCCAAATGCAAAGATTTGATTGTCCTGGGTGATCTAAACTGCGACATGTTACAGGAATCCAACCGATTGCGACCGATTGCGACCGATTTTAACTTGGAAGCAACTTGTCCACAACGCTCTACAACCCCTCCGGAAACGCAGTTTCGTTTTCGTGAAGTCTCCGAAACAGAAGTCGCAAATGTGGTATCAAACTTACCTGCCAATAAAGCTGCTGGTCCTGACAAATTACCAGCTAGAGTGATAAAAGATGGCCTGTCTGTTATTCTGTCTACGATAACCAGTATGATAAACTGCTCTTTTACCACCAGCAACTTTCCACAGGAATGGAAAATCGCAGAGGTCATCCCTATCCCCAAGTTAGGAGATAAAGAGTTAGCATGTAATAACCGCCCAATTTCATTGTTGCCAGTTATGTCTAAAATCTGCGAAAGGCTGGCTCACGGTCAATACAATAACTTCCTATGTTCCAAAGGTAAACTCTCTGCCCATCAAAATGGAAACAGGAAATTACATTCAACTGAAACAGCCTTACTCAAAGTTACTGACGATATTTTGAAAGCAATGGACGAAAAATTGATTACCATTATGGTCCTAATTGATTTTTCGAAAGCCTTCGATAGCATCAATCATGAAACTCTATTAAATAAATTATGGAATATTGGAATGGCTCCAAGTGCTTTGAAATGGTTTTCCAGCTACTTGACAAATAGATCTCAAAAAGTACGTTTGGGAGAGTTTCTATCGCAACGACTCCCACTATCTCACGGAGTACCACAAGGATCTATTTTGGGACCTTTGATGTTTACTGTGTATGTCAACGACCTACCATCGTCAGCTGTTAACTGTAAGCCGGAGTGTTATGTTGACGATAGCAAGCTTTATGTTAGATTGTGAGATTTATCAACAACTGCCGAGCGAAGCGTCTAGCGAGGAAAAAGGACCAATATCAACAGAGGAAACCGAAGAGCAAGTTAATTTCTGGATCAGGAGAACGCAGGCGAGATATGAAGGAACCGTCGAATTCCAAGAAGAACAGTTGAGACTCAATCTTCAGAAGAACGGACGAGGTGTGTACGAGTGTCGTGGACGTATTCAGGGACATTACCCAACATTCCTGCCTGACAAGTCCACGCTAGCCGAAAAGATTGTGATGAATGCCCACGCACAGACTCTCCATGGGGGAGTTGGACTCACAATGACATCGGTGAGAGAAAATTATTGGATTCCACGGCTGCGAAGTTTGACAAAACGAGTGATCAAAAGATGTTACGGCTGTAAACGACATCAAGTAACAGCGTTTGCTCAACCACCCCCTGGGAATCTTCCTCGAGACAGAACAGAAGGTTCGTGGGCGTTTCAAGTCGTTGGTATCGATTATGCCGGCCCGATATTGTAGCGCACAACGAAAAACAACGAGAAGAAATCCTATATCCTGCTGTGTGCATGCAGTTTAACAAGAAGTATCTACTTGGAGTTGGTACCAAACTTGACCACAGAAGAATGCATCCGAAGCCTCAAACGGTTAATTGCGAGACGCGGTCGTCCGGATAAAATCTATTCCGACAATGGGAAGACGTTCGTCGCCGCAGCGAAATGGTTGAGGAAGGCTATGAAGGACGAACAGCTTCATGATTGGCTTGGAAAAATGAAGATCGTCTGGCAATTCAACCTCAGTCGCGCCCCATGGTGGGGCGGTCAATTTGAACGGATGGTCGGTTTAGTGAAGCAGGCGTTGTACAAAACGACGGGGAAGTCCAAATTGACCTGGAACGAATTGGAAGAAGTGCTGCTGGATATCGAGATTACACTAAATAACCGACCGCTGAGTTATGTTGAGGATGACATACAATTACCAATCTTAACGCCCCAGACCATGACGATTGGACGACCCAACTTAATTCCGGAGTCAGAAAGCCTAGACCTCACAGAAGACGATGCTGACCTGAGACTAAGAAAGAGAGCAAAGTACATCAAGAAGTGCAAAGAAGCTTGGTGGTCGCGATGGTCGTCTGATTATCTCAAAGCCCTGAGAGAAAGGCATAATATGAAGAATGGAACGAAAGAGATGCAACTTAAAATCGGAGATGTTGTGCTCATCAAAGGAGACGAGCGGAATAAAGGAAAATGGAAAATCGGGGTCATCGAGAAATTGATCGAAGGTAGAGATGGGAGCGTTCGAGCAGTCCGACTAAGAGCTGGTAAATCGTACTTAGAGAGGACCATCCAACACCTGTACCCTATGGAGTTATCTTGTGATAGGAAGAAACCGGAGAAGAATTTAGATCCTACAGCTCGCGAGTTCAGACCAAGAAGACACGCAGCAGCCGTTGCTAATGAAAACATCAGGATCATTGCGGAAGAAGAAAGAGAGGAACATTAGTAACAATTTTGAACGTTTATAGGTGGTTTGTTTAGATCGAACCAGATCGTACAGTGAACCTTTTATGTAGTTTCATAGTTAACAATTTATATTTGACTTTAATGAAAGTCCAATAGGGGGAGAGTGTGGGAAAGTTTACATTATACTATTAGGACGCGCGGAGACCGGAAGAGGTCTCGGACTGAGACAATAAGGAGGGCCGTGAATAATAATACGAGAGCTAGTAAAAACATTCGAAGTGAAAAACAAACTGTTATTTTGAGGACTTTCTGTAAGGGTTTTAGTAGATAAATAGATTTAAAACAAAAAGATTCTTCGAGTGTTATTTGTTGGGGATTCTTGAAGCCTTTCTCCGACACGCCGTACCTTAGCTTATATTTCTAACGAGATTATAGTACGGGGATGTGACAATTAAAAACATTTCCTATCGTTTTGTTTGTTTACAACAGTTACTTGCTGTAAACTAGTTTTAATATACGTAAATTGGTTAAATTCAATATTTATTGACAGGCCGAGTGTGAGTTTCTATAAAAATAGAGTATCAAAAATATCAACAAGCAGTATCAAATATCAACATACCCCAGTGCGTCCTGGCTGAGTTAGTTTGAGAAATGTCTCGGCCATGCTGAATCGGATATCTTCGCTCTGACCTTGAGATTTGGGCGGGAAATTCAACTGACTGAAACGCATTCTCAATTTTATTTAGACGTTTCTTGCGCGTGCAGAGAGAATAAATGTCTCTTGTTTGTCGTTTTTTCCTGTAGAAGACTGTTATAAGGATTCATGCGAATGCGCTTCCGGGACTAATTGGCTCATGGTTACTGTTTGTAGCTTCAGAATTGCCGCGGAATATCAATGAAGACCTGTCAAAAATCACCTCATGGTGCTGTCACAATAGTCTACGAATTAATTCAGACAAGACCAAAGTGTTAGTACTAGGAACACACAAAATGTTGCAACGATTACCGGATGACTTTTATGTGACATTACTTGAGAAAAGGATTAATCCCAGTATTTCAGCACGCGATCTTGGGATTCAACTTGATTCAACACTAAGTTTTAACGAACATATAGCAAACACTGTTTCTACTTGTATTGCGAGCTTATGTCAGATATATAGAGTCATGCAAACATCTTTTTGACCCTAGGATTTTAGAAAATGTCATCTCGTCCCTAGTATTTTCCAAATTGTATTATTGCTCAAACGTATGGTCCAGTACGACCAAGAAGAACATAGAAAAATTACAAAAAGTGCAAATCTTCGCGGCGAGAATAATCACCGGAACACAAAAATATGAGCATATTACACCACTGATACTCAAACAACTGAATTGGCTACCTGTCCCAGACATGTTAAAATATTTTGTTGGCGTTCTAACGTTTAAATGTTTGAACGGACTAGCCCCTGACTATCTCAATTCATATTTTCAGGAGAGATTATCTTTACACGATAGAAACACCAGAAATAAACAAAAACTAAACATTCCAGCTTATAGATCGGCGGCCGGACAACGAACATTTGAATACCGAGCAGTATCCCTGTGGAACTTTCTACCTAGTAACATTACTGTACATGACAATTGTAAAGATTTGAAAAGTAATTTCTATAGCTATCTGTTTGAACTTTTTCTTTTAAAATCTTAATTGAACTTATCTCATTTTAACGATTTTAAACTGTAAATATACAATAGAATAATTTAGATATAATTTACTTGTATATTAATCTGAAAAACCAAATGTTTGGAGAATTAAATAATAATAATAATAATAATAATAATAATAATAATAATAATAATAATAATAATAATAATAATAATAATAGTTACAATGGAATACTATAGACCACTGTGAGAACATTCAGTGTACGATAAATACAATAAATAAAACTATCATCCATGCCAGAATAACTAAACTTAGATTCAAATTCGTTGAATTTAGTAGTTGCAGTGTGCTTGCCGTAGTCATAAAATGTTTTCCCAACCAAGCATTTTCGATTTTGATTCTGTACATGTAAAGATATGGCTATCTTCAACATTTATACCGTACCTTGTAAATTAAACAGAAAACATATATTTTTAAGCTTTAAAATTATATACACTATAACCATAGTTAATAGAACAGAATAGATGGTTTGGAAACTTGTTAGAATAACAATATAATTCATTATCTATTGTTATACACGGAAATAATACACTAGAATTATATGCACGAGTGTTGCACGTGATGATTACATGAAGCATACAATGAACCATTGATGAACAATGCACAATAGCATAATTTAATTAACAGGAAACAATGTGTATGACACTGTCAGGAAACAGTGAGTGTATTAGAGTCTTAGTGTCAGAGTAGAGCTGACTGTAGTCAGAGCGTTTGTATCTATCAAAAGCAACGCACAGACGCACACAATATTCAAAATATATATATGTGATAAAAGAAACCGTGTTGGTGTCAGTGATATTGATATTCTTGTTGTTGAGCTATTACCCCTACGGCCCCGACGATCCTGCTGTATTAGTCTGAATATAACCAAGAAAAGGGGTCGTATAACATTGGTGGAGCAAGCGGGCAAGATGCAAATTAAACAGCGAAAGCCAGAACCAGAACCAGAAGACTAAAGATTAAAAAGACCAGACAACCTGATAAAACGAAAGATTACAAAGACGCGACGTCGGACGCGAAGCTACATGTATATAACTTGAGGTACATGATGTTTACTTTATCCTTATTTGCTTGGCTAGTTGAAATCGACTACGAACCACATGTTGTGTCAGAAAATTTCTTTTTTTCCTCATGCTAAAATCAGAGCGAGTGTAAGAGTATTATAGTTGTTCTTAGTGCTGTTAATGTAATACGTTGTTTCTCGTCCTATGTTTCTTGTCCTTTTATGTGTATTATGTGTAGACATTTAGTTATATTATTCACCACAGTTATACAAACGTTTCATTGTGTCCGGTCCAATTACTCGCAGTCGCAGTCGTGTTGATAGTTCATTGCGGGAATCAGTAGACCATACTAGCGTGGGTATGGCTGAGCATACTGAGCTTATGAATAAGTTGTCCGAACTGTTAAATGCTATTGAGAAATCTACAAGAACAAATCAGCAAAGCCAAGAGCAACTTGCTGAAAGTACTGAAAAGGGCATTCGCAGCCAAACTGACTTTCTGACATCACATGAACAACAACAAGCCCAATTGGCAACACTAATATCGCAAAATACTTTACAGGTGGGTCCTGCCCTCCATCCCACACCATTTTTTGGTAAGCCGACAGATGACCTTACAGCATTTCTTGGCCACTTTGAACGGTACTCTAATTTCTGTGGGTGGGATTCTAAACAACGTCTACGGGCCCTACCCCTTTACTTACAGGGTAATGCTGGATCTTGGTATGCTAGTCTTAATACTAGTTTTGAGAGTTATGATGCTTTAATTAATACACTAAAAGAACAGTTTAGTAACCCGGCATCACTGTGGCTCTTGCGTCAACAATTATCATCAAGAAAGCAGAATGA